TTCGTGGCTTGGAACTGAATAGAATCTGTTAATATATTTTTCGATGATTTAATATCTGTTATGATAAAAATAAATGATTTAAAGATTTGTTGGAATTTTGCAGTTCTTCATTTTAAATATAGAACTGAACGAGGAAATATCGGTTTTACTCTTCAACAACACGGACGATTCGTTACGACTATGTATCAGTTATAGAATCCTTGATCATTTGTTTCTTAACGTTGATGGAATAGTTTTGGGCACTTCATTTTTCAACAGGAGCCACATAGAGCGTGTGAATACGATATTTTATCGCGTTTGTTAGATGGATTGCTTCTCACTGGCAGTTGCACGTGTTTCAAAAATATGAAACGTGTTACTTTCTGACAGAAAATAATAAGATAGGCTCGATCGAAACTGTTATAGTGATACTTCAAAGTCAGTTGTATTCAATTCCTTTTTGATTTCTAAACATAGATTTCTACTGACGTTTGGGAAAATTCGAACACTTATTATGGAAGAACTTTTAAAGACGTACCTTTGTTCAAAAGTCCTAGAACATTTTTTATTTTTAATATCCAATGTTTGTTATAGAAAATAAAATTTTTAAATTTTGTGTATTAATATATTAATATTTTATACACTCTGATCGTGATCGTATCAAAAGTAAAATTTTAAGCTTAATTTTTTCCAGTTTTGAAATAAATGCACCATTTGTCTTAAGACTTTTCAGCAAGAATGTGTAGTATATGTGTTGTATAAAAAATTTTGGAACATCACAATATGTCGTGATTATATTGGTAAAATTATATTTAGCAGGAAAATAATGTATAGAATAAATACTCGTGTAATAATTGTTGAAGATCTTATTGAACATTGAAGATTGTTAATATAATTATGTTTAAATAGTTTTAAAATGCCTACGTTCCACTTAAACAACTTGCAATTTCAACGCGCGTTTTCAGATTTGTTTCAAACTAGATCGATAAATGTGAAATTTTATGAAATTGCGATTCATGAATGTGAAATGAAATAAAGTGAAATGAAAAAAGTGTGAAACGTGATTCATAAATGTGAAAATCACGAACATCATGTCTCAGTGAAATTTTATATGACACGCATAATATACACGTGAAATTTTTTTTTTATAATAAGTGCTCGATTTCTATTGCAGAGTTTCCTGACTGACTGTATGTACATACACATCTCTGTATTATGTTATCAAACATTTCATTTTGCGTATCACGTATGAATTTAAACTTTGATATCAGAGTAATACATAGATATATTCGTATATTTTTTCTGTCGCATATATCACGATAGAAATTTATTGAATGCCTGTGCAATCTAAGAGCAATGTTGATTATTGCTGATTGATTTTTTCAATTGTCATTTGGAAGAGGACTCTCTTTTTTTTTTTTATTCTGCGGGAAAAGACCCGTTTATCGCGCGTTCGAAATAAGATTCGTTTATCGCTTGAAAGGAGCTTACTCTTTTTAAGCAGATTAAAGTCAGCAAAGCTGGGATAAATATAGCTTTAAAAATTTTAAGAGACAAGAATTTTAAAAGGCTGAGTATTAAAGTTACATAATTAAAGTAATTTGTTTTGTTGAAACATTTTGTCTTGCATGTTCTCACTTTTACTTTTTAACTCTTTCGTGGATTCATTTAGAAATTTCAAACACGAGTTGATCGCAATTAAGGATAATTAATGCAATAGAGCAATTTTCGAAATAACTTTCATTTCTATATGTGTTTGAAAGCAGACTTTTTGTTATAACCATTTCTTTTTTGAACAAACAGTCAAGAAAACGATAATGCCAGTGTTGTCCGCGAAAATCTTAAAGTCGCTATGAAATAATAACTTATAAATATTTTAATCCACAACATCATGCTACAAAATTTCATTTATAATTCCATCCAATTGATTTACATTATCGAATTCTCTTTTTTAAACATATTGTGAAACGACTTATGAAAAGGAATGGCAAGGCTTTCTTTTGTTATTATTTGCTCCATTTGAATTTTGCAATTTTAGGAAATTTAATTGTTAAGCTCAGGACAAATCGTTACTTGGTCCTCCATGGATCAAATTGAACGCGAAGCAAAAGTGAAAAGTACAAAATGGCGTGAAAAATGACGAAACTGGAAATTCTTGGATATTTCGTGAGGCGGAATCTGAAGAATATGAACGAAAACGTTTCTTCATTAACTTCCATTAATTTCCTGTACATGAAATTGAGTTTCACTAATTTGAGATGGCGAACGCATACCAAGCGAATACTGAATACTGCTACTTCAGTGCGGTAGCAGCTAAAGGTTCCCGTCGTGTTATCCGAATAATGCTTTCATTACGTATATTATCACATTTATTGCCACGGTTCAAATACACGAAGAGAAATTAGATTTCGAATTTCTATTAAAATTTTAGGCAAAGAGACTTGAGCTTGGCTCACACGTGCCACGATATACAAACTTTTCAGGATTGTGCCACTTTTTCTTGACGCGGAATGTAAATGAGGTGCTTAATTAAATTTGCAATTGCATTTCGTAAATAGAAATTTATTTCATCTTCTAGTGAATAACGTAGTGAATTGTATAATTAAAGTAAATGTTATCTCGTATTATATTTATCATATTTAGTATATATTTATCATATTTTTTTTTTTTTCATATTCCATCTTCAAATTTTCCATAAATGCATAAGGATCTGCAGTATATTAATTACTGAATAAGCTGAAAAAGTGGCCATTCTTATAAGTTGTTAACAAAATTCATAAAATATGTAGAAATACAAGAACTCTCGTCCTGATTGAACCACAGTGTTTCAGAGAATTTCGGTGTATCAATATCTTCCTATATATGTTAACTTGCTTTAGTTTCTCTTATAGAAGGGAAATGTTCTGAAAGGAAATCGGAAACAATTATTCTGCAAGTTTGGCTAAACGAAATAAATTTTCTGCGATGAAGTTATTATCCGCGGAGAACTAAGTTTAATAGCGTGCAATATAGTAATCAGTAGCAAGACTGAGTATTCTTACTAGTTGTCGCATAGCAAGTTCTGTGCAACACATACGTACATACATATATGTGCACATATGCGTTCGATATCCACATTCGTACATCCACTATCGGAAGTTTCAGTAGACATTGTTTGTATTAAATACAGAGATCTAATCTTAGTACACAGTTCTAACACCAATAGTGATTTTCTTGCATAGATTATTTCGATACATAATGTATGAATTTGTCGTTGTGCAGTATATAGCCAGAAATATGCAAGGATTAACATTTAAATGTTAAACTAACAAGGAAGGTTTGGCAACCGAAAAATTCAGAAAAATTCGAAATTTTGCACGAATGTAGTTCACGTAATGTTAATTAGCAATTCTTTTTTTCTTGCTAAAAACTCCCTCCGTTCCGAAAACAGATTATAAGTATAAAATATCTGAAGCAAAAGAATATAAGTCAAATTGTAGTCAAAATAATGTGTCATTGTTTAAAAAGGAAATGACGTATGTCTTGATGTCATTTATTAACTTTTACGAATAAAAAAAGTTTAGCTATTTAAATTTTTAATTTTGCGCCGCATTTTAAGTTGAAATATTATTAAATAACAATTTTAATTAGTACTCCTTTGTCCGCTCGTAAATAAAATTTTTCAAATGCAGTAAAAATTTTAGTCAAAGTTTTGGTATACACGCCTAACACACAGACTTCTGCAGAACAGAATTTAGATCTTGCTCGTGATAATTAGGTTAAATCGATCGATTTGAGGCTTTACTAAGTGTTCGTACAAGTTGTGTTTCAAAGCAAGTAGTTGAACTACTTAAGTCATGTACTTGTTAATTCGAAGACTTAGATTATATACTTAAAATGAATTTGTTTAGAAATATTTAATTGAAATTTTTACGAAACAAATCAACGGGATTGATGTAATTGTTAAACAACTTGTACATATAAATTACCATGTTCTATTGTTTGAAATTTTTTTCTTTTCAGGTCCTTTCATTTCATAATATTCGTATTGTTGCCAGTTGTATGTATATGCCATCTCTTTTAAATTTCGTGCACGTACGAACATAGTCTTCTGACGCATATGAGATATAATATTGTGTCATCATGCTTTTATGACGCAAATTTCATGCCATTTAATTGAAAGTTTTATGTCATTAAAAATCTTTCCTTCTTACTTTTATACAGTACGAGTCTCTAAATTCTCGTTTTCGGCGTATGAATGTAAAAATATTCTTCGTGAAAATGATTTTATTATTTAAAACAAACATGCAAATTAATAAATTTTTCTAGAAATATCCTTTCGCAGTTAGTATCTATAAGTTTCATATAAAATAGTGAACTTTAAGATTATTCAAGGAAAGAAGTGCTAGAAAGTGACTATATATTATATTTCACGCAAAGCAGAAACCGAAAGTCACTCTGAAAGTGAAAACAAAAAGAAACTTAAGAAAATGGTTCGTGACGAGTGAACTTTGATTTTATTAATTTAACCTGAAGAAACTAACGGTAAAAGAAATGTCTACAGTATATGTGGAAAGATGTGAATTCTACGGCGATTCATCAAAAATTTCACAAGGTCCGCGACTTCAAATTACGATCAAGAAAATTAAGATCACACGTAAAGATCCACGGAAAGGTCAGGGAAAATTCCCCAAGGCCCTTCCACGTCAGTGAACTTGCTTCGCCATCATCTCTTCCGCTTTCAATCGATCAAAAAAATATTATGAAGGAACTGTGTGACTCGGCCTCGTATCTCATCGATACAACAACGATCTAGAATCTAGAGAAATTGCAACGCGAGATGCCACCGATCGACGTCTATACGTTGGATTATCCTCTTTCGTACGGGAGACGAATCCTAGACGATTTGCCAACGCGTTTCTCGCCCTGGCTGGTGAAACGATTAAAGATAAGCTCTGCTAACCCCTCACCGATCCCCTCGTCAGTCAAAATCTGACGACCCACTTTCTTGCCGCGACGGTATTCGGTCGCCACTTTCTCACCCTAGACGGTACTCCCTCCGGAGAACCATGGATGTATCCGTGGGAAGATGAGGAAAATCCTCGCCTTAATCTCGAGGATGTGCCGGAAGCATTCAGGACAATCGTTGCGCTGGCTCCTCGATTACTCTTGTCATACGTTGAGTTCCGCGTCCCTCTGGATTCTGTTCTCTCCACTGTAATGCGGATTCATTACTTGCATCGGCCAGCTTTCTGAACGAACAATGCGCGATTGTTAGCAGTTTTTCTCTGCCTGTTTCTTTGCATTCCCGATTCTTCTCTCGGCAACGTGATTCGTTTGTGTTAATCATTTTCGTTCGAATCGTCCAAACTGTTTTCTCATCACGTATTGATTTCGTATTGCTATTTATTGAAATTGTCGACTGGCTCACGCTAGATAATTATTAGAAGTTAGTAGATGGCTTTTTTTAGAAGTTTCTCTTTTTTTAATTAAACTGCTGTGCTTGCAAGTTTGTATTTTGCAACTGAATGAAAGAAAGTTGATCAGAGTTTTGTTTCGTGAATTTCCTAATGAATGATACAGTGTAATTAAAAAGACCGGGAATGTCTGCACCAGGTCTATTTATAACTGGACTGTAAAAAGGTATTTACTAATCAAATTAAGTAAGTTGGCAGTACCTTTGTGTGATTATACAAAATTTTGATGTCTGTGTCGGAGAACCATTCGAATCTTTTCATAAATGCACGAACATATGAAATTTAACGTTCTTCTACGTACACTATTCAAATAAAATTATTCAACCCGCAGATAAAATTTTTCTCATGGTAACAACACAGCCATTTCATATATCAAATGAAACATCAAACAAGAAAATTCTAAAGCTACATTACATCATTCGTTCCAATTGTTTAACATTCTCCACAATTATTTGAAAATTCCTCATTCCGGTTCCAAGTGTCAGATCTCATTGAATCGAAATTCCAGCCACTTTCGTTGCAGAGCACCGTAGGCGTGACTCTTGAACAGTTTCGCGTAGTTTCGCTCGCCGAACAAAAGCTCATTCTAATTATGCCGAACTTCGCAGCGTGTTTCGTTTCATTTTCGCGTGTAGAATCAACATTTTCGCAATACTTACAACGTTGTTGACAATTCGATGTTTGTCGTATTTCCTGGCGCAATCCCCGCCAGAGTTTCACCGCAATCAGAGAATAAGCCAAACTCATCACGATTAAAGGAACTAAAAGCAAAGTCCCGTCCAAGAAAAGGTTATAAGCTCTCTCGGTGCCGACGCTTGGCCACTCTTCTCGACACTTGCGCCTTCCTGTAACAGAAAGCATCAAACTTTCCTGTAAATTTTCACGAAGTGAATTGACGGCGCGAAGGTAGTTGAAGTTGAGCAGTGAATTTCAAAGGGAAAATATCGGCCGCGCGCTAACGGAATGAAAGTGCCGTTTAAAAGGCCGGCGTTAAGGGGAACTTTCCTCGAAGATGCTAGTCGTAAGAACTTTTTCACGCGAGTGTGATTTCGATACGTTCTTTCATTAGATTTTACAACTAACTGCGATGATAAATTCATTGTCCGTCCGTTCTTTTTTTTTTTTCTTTCGCTATAATGTTGTCAAAATTTTGAACTCTTTGAAAGTTGTATTAATCATTTACTGTTAGTATTGCTTTTTTAACGCTGTTACTGATGGTTTTTTTTTTTTATTGTCAGTTTTCTAATATTGTCGTCGATCGGTTTCTAATTTTTTAACGCTAGAACGACCGATTCATGATTTTTCGTAAATGGCATTTTTGGAGATCTGAGCTTCTCGTAAATTCAAGCTTGCGTTTTTTATGATATTATAATTCCCACATCTAAACTAACAGGGAAACAAAAGTGTTCGATTCCAAGTCTCGACAAATATAGATTTATCACACAACAATAAAAGAACTGAAATTACAATGCGTGACATATTTCACGTGATATTTTTACCAAATATTTTATAGCTTAGCATTTCTTTTGATCGCAAGCTTTATAGTGATCGAAATGTAAAGAAAGATTGTTAGATTGTCAGTTACGTAAAATATCAACTGTAAGCAATTTATGCAAATGTTATTCGCATACTCTGTTTAGAATGAACATAACTAAAATCGAAATTTAATTAATTTGTAAGGAATCTCAGCTATTGATAAATTTGTATATTCGTTTTGTTCATAGTCAAAATGCTAGTGCAAGTAAGCGTGTGCAATTTAGATTGAGGACAAATTAATTCGGTATTACAGAGCTGTTAATATTTAATATTGCACACGAATTCGAATAAATAAAGTATATAACAATATTTATCCTAGAAAAATAGTGTACGAATATTTGATATAACAGTGCAATAATAATAGCGTAATGATACTTTACATTTGAAGAGAATTATAGTGAAATAAAATATTTTTATTAATTGTTCACTAACGTTTTTGTACATAATACGATCTATTACTAAATTTTCTGTAAATTTATTTATAAATGTTATAACAGAAACTACTTAATTCATTCTTAAAGCGAAAAATTGACATGATTTAATTCTATTCGAATGGAGGAGGCTATTTTGAGATTCTTGCATTATCTAAGCAAATATTAATTTATCATATTTGGGTAATAATCAGAGAGACCAATACAAATATTCAAATGATTAACTATATCACTTAAAGATAAATAAATTAAATCAATGGCTAATTCTCGTACGTGCGTGATACACGTCAATTAGGTTTGCTTTAGGTTTAGCATAAAAAAAAAATACAACCATACAATTTATCGCAAGTATTATTAAAAATATTCAGAAGTCCATGCAACTTTATTTTACTTTATAATTTTTCACGTTGTGGCACAAAATATTTTATAATGAACGGTAATGAGAATACAACTATACGTAAATACACAGAACATTCGAAATAGTAAGAAATAATATATATAGTACAGCTCCTCGCATATTCAAACATTCAATATCCGATTAGACCTGTCAAATCTCATGTTTTTTTTTTTCTTACCATCGATAGCAGCTGAGATATTTAGATTTTATTTTTCGTTTTTTTATTCACCTATGTGCAACAGTTCAGGAACAATACTGTTTCCAATGATTGACAGGTCGAAGAAAAGGTACCAGAGAGAGAAATGAAAGAAGGAATCTTACCACCGCGTATATTTTTCAACCGCGATACAACGAGGATCGGTGCGTTCCACGTGAGGCTGGCTGTCCAAACCACAACGATCATTTTGTAAGCGTGAAATTGTGTTTGCCATCTTCTTGACTTTAGTGGTCTACAGATAGCGAAGTAACGCTCCAAAGAGATAGCCACCAGTGTCCAAACACCAACAGACACAGACACAGCTGGAAATGAAAAATAAGACCAATAGCTTCTATCGATCGATAGTAAAGGTTTTAAAATGTTTCGGATAGTTCAGGAGATAATTTCTGTTAAAAATAAATTACAGATAATATATATATAAATCTTCAAATAAACGTATCTAGGCAATTTTATTAACACAATTGAAAAGATTGTTCAGCAAATGTCCAAATTGTTGAAGTTCAATAGTAAAATGTATTAACGAAAGTAACAATAATAATTGAAGACCGATTTAGGAAACGATTATCACGAATTGCATTTTCATTTTTCACAAATTACACGCATGATGCATTTATGTAATGCTTACTTTTATTCGCGATGCAACAGACTTCCAGTAAAATTTTATATCTCTGTTCAGTACAAGGAAATGGTTTTACAATTCTGTTATTAGCACTTAGTATTTAAGTAGTAATACTTAAAAGTGGTATTCGGTAGTTTCAGATTAAATATACTTTTGCCAGACTTCTAGGAATTTCGCAACGCGATATCGATTATACAATACCACGAACCAGATATCCCACGCGTTTCGAATTCGAAGAATATACTAATATTTCGGTATTAGTTTGAAATGTCTGAACAAATTGCGTATTGTAGCTTCTTTTGTAGCTATAAGAATGAGTGAGAAAAATAAGCATCTTACTTAAATGGCACTTTGTATTGTTCGAATGCAACAGAAGCACAGGCTATCGCCTGAGTATCGCATAAAATTTTATTCAGAGTTGCATCGATTCCGATGGTTCACATGAGAATAACCGGAGGCGATCACGACATGATGTTTATTATATACAGTGTACATGTATAAGCAGTATAATTCCTAATGGATACGCAATCCTATTTCCTTGATAATCTTGGATAATTCTGAACCATTTCTGACCAAGCAGTTAACTGTAAAATTACTTCTCGTTGTCGCGTGTTCGGTAACGATCGAAGGAAATGTTGTTCCAAGGAAAGAAAAGTGAGTTGTTGAGTTGTTCTTGCTTTTAAGATAAAACAAAAACTTAATCTCGAAGTTAATCGTTAATGACTTTGCTGTTAATGCGACCGATTAAAACTAAGTAAACACGATGAAGTGAAAATAAAACTTTATTTCGCGACAACGATGCGAAATTTTCCGTCAAAATACAATTAAAAACTAGACCGTTTTATCTTAATGACGCAAACTGTCAGTAGAGTAAATAATAAACAATTAAATTTCAGAGGGAAGCTTTGTTAAGTTATGGGAAATTGAAAGTGACCGGTTATTAAGCAAAGCGTGAAAAAGACTTCAAACTTTAAAGCTTTTTTTTCAACTAGTTTTGAAGTAAATCTTAAAGTCCGAAGGAATTTTAGCGAAAGTAAACATACACATTTTGTAGTTCACTTCACTAGATGAAAAAGTATATTAACGTATATTAAATAAAGTAAGTTATTTCGTTAACGCTGACTTTTACTTAACAGCATCTTGACTGATAATTTAAATGGTAAAGACAGAGTTTATATGCTCTGTAAATAAACATACTGATTGTTTAACTAATTGAGAGAAACAAAATTTTAATAATCTATTGAAAACATCGATTAATACATTTACTTTATTTTTGATGCACACACACACACATGGACACTTTTCAAATATGAATTTTAAAAGTTGTTTTTTTAAATCACAAGTTTAAAATAACAAAAAAATACTGACGTAAATAAAATTGTAAAATATGTTGAGTTTGAAATCGTTGATAATTTAATAATTTTTCACGAAACTGTTGATTTTAATTCAATACTTCATTCAGTATATATTGAGAAAATGATGAACACTTAATGATTTTAAGTTTAAAGTATGCTACATGTTATATAACATATTTATAATTTTGAAATTTGTTTACAAATTGATTCGCCAGAGAATAACCACGGTGAAAAATTAAAGTGCATGAAATTGAATAAACCATAATAAACTATATTAAATGATTTGTCAATGTTTACAAATAGAAATAAAACATTAATTATAAATAGAACGTATAACTATAAACAATATAAATAGATTGTATTATATTATATAATATAAAGCGATTACAGAATGATATAAAGTGCAGTATAAAATATAAAAGTATAAAATAATTACGGAACAGTAACAGAAATAAAATTAGTCACTACGAGCGAGGAAAACTGAAAAACATTTACAATACAACAGTTGCGATAAATTATAAAATTTTCCGTACATGAAATATTAATCGTGCATCACCAGATTTTCCACTATTTTCTCTTTAATTCGATTTCAAACAGATTAATCCTTGGGGATAGATACGACCACCCGTATGCGAAATACATAGTTTACCGCTGAGCTTTATACGATTTAAAAGATTCACGGTTCATCGCGCGATTAATTGTTTTGAAATGTGGAACGTATACATCCATACGCAACAATCATCATATACGATAATTATTACATAAATAATGAATTAATCAATAAAAACTGATGTATGTGAAATAAAAAAAAATATATATATATGTTGCATTTTTCATCCAGAAAGATTTTTTTTTTTATTCATTAACTTGTTTTTCTTTATTTTTTGTAAATACTAATTGCAAACATGTTCTACGGTCCATGAAAGATTCTGTTGCCTTGATTACTTACTCGTGTTGTATTACCTTGATTAAACACTGGTGGAAAAAGAAAAAATTAAACCATCCCGCGATGCGAGTCAGAAAGTATTGCTGGTTCCAGTCATCGTGGATGTAATGACTGTCGAGTCTACCGAAATTCGGTTCTTTTCGTTTCATGCTAATCACTTTTTTAATGCATCTCTACGTTTGACGATTGTGGAAGATCAATCAAAAGAATGTACTTTCAAGATGAATATATCAAAAGTGTAGCACTCTTTATAAATATTCAATAGGTGAAACAAATTTTCGCCTACTACAATTATCATCAATTCGCGTAAAAGTCTTATCCCCTTGTTTCTCGTTGTTTCGTTCGTCAATTTGCGAATAGACAGATAATTTGATAATCACACAGTGATGACAGAAAAACTGGCGTTTGGAAAGTACAATTTGAAGTAGACATTCTTGATCATCGGTACGTAAATTTGATTCCGTGTGAGAATAATTGTCGACACTTTGAATTGGCGCCTTTTCTTTCTCTCTTTCTCGTAAGTAATGCAGGCACGCAAAGAATTCGATCGCAGGGTCACAGGCTCGTACGTTTTCTGCCTTGTCCAATTGCGGAACGTGTTTCACTATCAGGCGATCACGTTCCGCTGAGGCAAAATTTTCACGACTGGCTTTCCCCGAAATGGTCGTGTTCGTTCAGCGATTCGTAAAAATTTCGCGTTCTACTTTTTCGCGATTTAAAAATTTAATTTACCGACATTCATTAAATAGCAGGCGAAGCTGTGTCGCCCACCGGCAACGATTTTACTTTGTTCTTTTTCTGAGTTTCGCATTCCTTTCTTCTCCTCTCTTCTGGAAATTCTCTTATGATAATTGAAATGTCACGAGTTATTGGGACGTACTTTCCGTAATTTAATTTCCATTTGTTGCGTTCATTGATTTGATATTTACTTACTGTTTGTTCGAGTTTTGATATTTTTTTTTTTTTTATTCGAACATTTGTTAATACTGTGTATTCTAGACAACAGTTTGAAAGTAATTTTAAAATGAGCTTCAGTTACGATAATATTGCATGATAATGTGTAAAATTTGATCTTTCTCTTCGTTTATCAATATATGATGATAAATTTTGAATTCTGAAATGTAATTACTATATAAAGAGCAACAGTTTGGAAAATAATTGAGCTAGGTTTAACAAATCAAATCAGCACAAATCAACTTATGTAACATTTAGAAAGTATGTCATACATTAGATAGAGATTGCTATATCGAAATATAGTTTTATTGCTAGATAGAAAAAAAACAACTGGTTCATTTGTAGAATAATAAAATTTGGGACCAAAAATGTAAAGAATATTACGTACACACATATTTTACTAAGACCTTCATCAATAGATATATCTTTAAATATCTTGTACAGTTATCTTTATTATTCATATTCTCATGTTTCTTAATTTTCATTATTATTTCTCAACGTTAATTGATACACGTATTGTACATACTTCTTAATACTATTTTGTCAACATCTTAATATTTTATTTGTTAAATATGTGTTGTTATTATTTCTCATTTTCATGTCAGTTATATTACACATAGGTATATTCTCTATGCCTTTCTCTTCTCCTGATATAGATAGTATATTCTATACTTTTAACTCGTCAGGCATACTTTACTACTATTTAGTTTTTAAAATTCGAAAATTTCACAAAAAGTCAAAAATCTAAATCACAGAATCAGGATATTATCAGGAGTTCCCGAATCCATCATCTTTTGACTTTTTTACTGTAATTTCATAAATTTCACAACAAGGAAGAAACAGCTGAAACAACAGAACAAACTGACAAAGTTCGCAAGTTCTCTGACAAACTTTCTCAACCAATATATCTCTGACGGAGTTTGGGAACAAAACTGGCGGTAGCTATTTCGTAGTCAAGTATTCACAACATGCTCAAACATTCTCGTTTCATTTAATTCAAAGTTAAACCTTCTTACTCGATGCTTTCTCATCTTCTAAGTTTCATATCTAACGAGAAAACTATCGTGTTAATTGTAAATTGTATTTATGAAAAAATTTGCTGAACTTTTGATAGTGGTTGTGCAGTACAACAAATCTTTCGTTATATTGCAATGAAAATGCAATCGTATGAAATATAATTATAAATGATTTGATTGTATTTTCATTAATAATTTTGATGTCCATGCAATTTTATATAATTTTCAATATAAATTTATATTTATGACAGAAGAATAATTAAATTGGTTAGTAATGATCGTAGAAAATTGACAATTAATTTATTAATACGGACAAATAGAAATTAAATCAATCGCAACGATTGCAGAATTCGTCGAATTGTAACGCTTTGTTTGTAACATGAAAGTCGTATAAAATACATTCGTGAAAATG